GTTCCTCCACCGCTTCAGCTCTCTCTCTCTCTGAAGCTTTGCTCTTGCCTGCCCGATCCACACACTTCTCCTTCTCAGAAAATTATTTGTGAATGGCTTTAGACAGGGTTTCAGGAAGGTTCCAAGGGCCACCTACAGTCTGCAATCACATTGTAGCCATGTCTACACTAAGCATTTAATGCAGCTTCAAGCTATCACATAATGTGACTGCTAGATTATGCATACTGCAGTGCACCTTAAACCAAGCAATCCAACACAAAGAAAGTCAGGGGAAAATCTGAAATGAAGCCTTTAATGCACACCAGCACACTGTAATATAAATGACATTGCACGTTGAACTCGGTTCCACAGAATGCTAATTACTATGTGAACTCCCGAAGTGCCCCTGTGATATACACATGCATATTCCAGAGAGGGATTTTTTTTGGGGGGGGGGCACACAAAGACAGCATTGTTCAATACTGAGTTCAAATGGACCTGCTCAAATAGATGTACCCCTGATATATAGCATGGAACACATTTTTATGCTGTAAGTATCAAAATTTACAAAGCTGTCAGAAACTGTTTTGAAAAACTTTTGCCATCCAATTGTATATATTCATTATTTTATGGAAATATTATAATCTAAAGAGCCATGCACATATTTGTGAGTGCACATACACAGAAAGAGGTGTGGCAGAAAGACATCAAATTTCTGTTTTACCCAGTACTATATGCTGTATAAATGTTAATGGTGTTTGCCTAATAAGCTAGATAACCCATTGATGTTGGGAATCAAAGGGAAACATTTCAGAAAAGCTTGTTTGAACATTCACCCAGAACATCAATATAGATTAAGCGTTTTATTTCCAGCTTGAACAGCCAGAAAGATTTGGTCAATGCCCAGACCACTGCTACTGGCTTTTATAGAGAAGCAGTTGTAGTGCAGGCTATAATGTATTTGGGTGTAGAAAGTAACTAATTCATTCAAACTGCCAGGATGGTACCAATATATTTTCCCTAATGTACAGGGATGGGAAACTTGGTCAATTGAAAAAAAGCTTCAGAGGAAAGAGTTTAGCAGCTTTCCTCTTCCTCAAATATTTAGCTTCCTCAAAACATTGAGGGATAGGATTTGTGTGATTATGTTGCGTGGTATATCTTAAATGCCTTAGGCATTCATTTCAAAGGCTGCCTATAACAATAAGAGAAATATTTCATTTTGACCGAACATCCTTGAAGAAGTAAGGAAGGAGTCAAGCCTTTTTATCATAATTGTTAATGTAATCCTTGCTGTTACTGAGCTGTACTTTAAATATGAACAAGCAGAAAATCTTGGTGCAAGTTCTAGTGGAATGAGAAAGGATTAAGCAGAACATTCAGAAGTTCATTAAAAATAGCACTTTGCTGAGTTCCACATATTCTGGCTGACATCCTCTTGGTTAACGCCCAACTAAAATTGGCCCAAGGGGTTGACCCGTTAATGAGTTGCTAATTAGTTGTTAATTAGTCAACATGTCAGTAAATCTCTTTGATCCAGTGGGTCTACTTTTGTCAGAACTGACAATAGAATTAATTTTCTGTGTGAGTTTGAGAGAAAGAAGGCAGGATCAAGGAGAAAAAAGGAAATGCCTGTCTTGTTCTTGGAGGTTTCAGAAAGTGTTTTGCTGGTAAGTGAGAATCAGAACTAACTTGTGTGTGTGATACTATTGTAGTTGTTGGTTAAAGGAAGATGGAGAGTTCAGTTGAAGATAGTCACAAAGTGAAGTAGAGGAGTCACTTCAGTTTATTTTTTCAACAGGGCTCCTGGCTGAAATGTTACCAAAGCTGCCTACACAAAAGAGAATTGAAAGGGGAGAGGGATAACTTTCCCAGGCAGCAAGAAAAGTGGTAGAATTAAAAAGAAAGGGCAACAATGGAAACATAATCCTTAAATCAGACAAAAGAGAGTGAGAAAAACAATGCAAAGTGAATTTTAAAAATTCATAAGGAAAGCAAGAGACCCTACAATAATGAGAGTGCCAAGTGACATTTAAGAGACAGTCATTTGTAAAGCAGAGATAGCTCTACTTCCAGTCCTCACCCTGGATTTTCAGAATTTAAGCCTTGGCCCACCTAGATTAGGAAAATGAAAAGTAGCGGAATTGCTTCAGAAATTACAGAGAAGCTGCAAGAACACCACATGAATGCTTTCAATTTTGCAACAGGATATATGCCAGTAAATTTCAGATGGCATTCTCTGTCATCTGCTTCCTTCTGTAGAAGACAATAAAGTTTGTAAGGAAGTGAAAGAAGCTTTTGAGAACCATCTTGTAGGGAGACAAAGTGATGTATCTGAAAGAAGTAACATTTAGTAGGAGGTGCCAGGAGCAAGGGGAAACTGCAGCAGCTGTTATTGCCATCAAACAGTGTAATTGTGGAACAGTGAAATAAGAGTTAGTAAGAGATAGGGTAGTAGGTATGAAGTACAAGGAAAGAATGTGTAAACTCACCTCTTGGCCAGATGATACAAACGGATAAAATCCTTAATGGAAAAGGGTAAGGAATTCATTAAAAAGAGGAAGCAAAACCTTTATCAATTGGTAGGCTTAATCTGAACTATTTCAAAGATAGGTTAAGGAACAAAAGTGAAGATTGCAGTCTAATGCCAGCACTAGGCTCAGGTTTTGAAAAAGTAATTGATCCCTAGTATTTTTTATAATGGCTGGGTAGTAATTTATTGTCAGTTTTCATCCAGTTTAAAAAAATTACGCCATCACTTGATTCATTGCCTTTTTATTTACGAAAAAAACCCTTGAAAATAAATAACAGAAAGGCATAAACCTAAAAAAGAACTCCAAATATGTACTTCCAAATTTAATGTAAATATAACTTTGAAAACTAACTAGAAGGCATTACTCATTACACCAGTGTAGAGACTTCATTCACATTTGTCCAGGTGGCTTTGTTATACACTTGTTATAAAGAATGCCACAATGGCATTCCTTGTAACTTAGTATTTCCAAGCTCCAATTGGGCAGATAAAAAGCCTTTCTCAGAACAGTTTCCAAGTGATAACATGTGGATACAATTCCCATATATATCAAACTAGACAAAAAGATCCAAAAATTCTTAGGTCTGACATTGTAAAAGATCCTTCAGGATTGCCTCCCCTATGTTTAAATGGTTTAACATTACCAAATTCTCTGGTACAGCCATTTTCCTTTTCTGTAGTTCTATGGGGCATTATCACAGTAGGAAAGTAAATCACAATTACATCAGAATAATAGTGTCTTTGGGGCTGATTATATAGCTATTATTTATTTTCTATTGTTCTCCCAAGGGATGCCATTTGCAACCTTATCCCACTCTATTTTTCCCCATTTACTTTCTGTCTGTGTATGGTGGCAAAATGGAGGCCATCCCATGATGCAGCCATTTCTAGTGGCTGTGCATATAAATCTGTCTTGCCAGCATGTGAAGGTAGAAAGTTAGGTGTTCCCCAACTCTCCTGATTGAAGAAAGCAGTGGAAAGCAGAAAGAAGATGGGGAGATGTGTTGGGATGGCTGGCCATCTCCAGAGACAGATATGTGTTGGGATGGCTGGCCATCTCCAGAGACAGAAATGTGTTGGGATGGCTGGCCATCTCCAAAGTAGGGTCCCCACTCTTAAGGACGCTTTCCTGTGCTTTCTTCCTGTCTGTGAGATGGAGTCCTTAGAAAGTGCCCTTTTATTGGCCAAAAATCCATTAGTGACCTCCTTTCCTGCTATTGTTTTGCTACAATTTCCTGTACAAAAGTTCTATTGTGATTTTGTGCTGGTTTTGGATAGTCAGTAGACATGATTTGCATGGGGAAGTCAGTGGGGAAATGTCAGTCCACCTCCAGTGAGCAAGGGAGACAGACAACAAGTGGATATTTTGATTTGATTTCCTTTCAACTGGAAAAATAACTAAAGTGGTTCAACTCTTTTTCTCATTGTCTCATTTCCTACCTCTCTATGAGTTTTCCCTTACAATTAGTTCTCCCCCCTTATCTCACCCAGAGTTTTTAAACCATTTTATGTACATGCGGCCCACTCTCTGTCATTATGTTTGGTTCCTATGTTCTGTGTATATTGTTTTACAGGTTTTGATGTTTTACATTTTAATGTTATGTTGTTTATTTTACTGCAATTTGTATTGTTATTTTGTAGTTTGTTGTTCGGGCTTGTCCCCATGTAAGCCGCTCCGAGTCCCCGTTGGGGAGATGGTGGCGGGGTATAAATAAAGATTATTATTATTATTATTATTATTTTAAAAACTCCATTTGTGGGGTTATTTTTACATTTGTTTCTGGCTAAAAAATAATTAGTAAACTCATTCAACCATTTGTAACTTTTTGTGTAATTCTAACATGTTGTCACTGTAAAATATATTGCTTTGAAATTTGGTCCATCATTTTGAAAAATCTTGTACTAGTAGTAGTGTGTCAAAGTAAGAAAATGGATGAGATTGGTGAATGATACAGGGTGGGCAATCCCAAATGCTATGTGTAATAATATTTTAGCATAAATAAATGCTGTAATCCCAGAATGGTTACAAAGGGAACAAAAGCAATTCCAATTGAGTAACACTTTTAGAAAAGCAAAAAAAAAAAAAAAAAAAAAGAGCATAGTGTGATAAACCCTAAAAGAATATTCAGTGATTTATCCATTGTGAATCAGTATTCTTTTTTAATTATGCAACCTATGTGAAGAGTAGGTTTTCTAAGAATAGTTTCATCTGTGGATATCACTTGATGATTACTGCAACATTGGTTGGTAACTTGCATCTGTGAATAAACCATCATGGATCAAACACCACAGAAAGAACTCATTATCACCTCAAACACAATGTTTTTCCCATGCAATCTGTTCACACATAAAACTGTGAGTCATTGTACTCTGAGTAATGTGATAATCAAGCGGGTGCGTGTTTGAACTGGCCTAAAGTTCCCTCCATTTCTTGAAAGCAACAGTATTTTATACTAAAAATAATGTCTTGGTTTTCTTTTCTTTCTAGATTCAAGCAAAGTACAGTATACAATACGAAAATGTTTTCTTTCTGTGTAGAATATTAGAACAACTCCTTGAAAGTCAGACAGAGCAGGAAAACCTTTGTGGTTCCGGATGTGATGAGGAAGAGAAGAAGAAATTTCTGCAAAACCTCAATCAGGCTATTTTTCATCTTTCTGATCAATTCCCCTTGTTCTGTATTTATTTGTGGCGACTGGGCACTCTTCTGAATGCAACACAAATAGAAACTGATGAAAGAAACAGGCCTGCTTTGTAGCCTCGGGAGACATTAGCAAGCCAAAGAAGAGGCCAGAATGATTAAGGCGTGTTCACCACTGAAGCAATGTATATCATCAGTAAGGATTAAATCCATCAAACCATGGGGCTGCAGCTTTCTTTTTCATGTTAGAATTGCTTAGGTAGATGTTGAGTAGTTTCATGATGATGGCGGCAAAGAATTTGTTTATGTCACCTGAATTCAAGCAACATATGGAATAAGTAAAAAATTGTCCTGATTTTTAAAATCCAAACACTTATTAAAAACATACAGTGCAACCGGGGACATATTATTAAGAACTTAATTATGCATGTTTTAAACCATAGATGACTCAAATTCAGCATGCAATTTGTTTTAATCCATTGAATTGTCATCTCAGTTGGAAGACATTCTTCATCTCCTATGTCTAACTTTTTTCGGGAAAGAGTTCTGTACTGTTTGGTAAAACACATCTGATGTGCCTCACTTTATTTCATACATCTATCAAACATCTCCAGGATTTGACAATTGAACTATCATATTATCTTAGAATCTAGTGCTACCTAAAAAAAAAAAGTTTCGTTATCTTACTTTATGTAAAAATTATTTGCTTTTATTATACATTTTGAAGTGTTTAATAAAAAATCAACTCATACTTGTGATTAAGTCCTAAGTACATTAATTTATGTTAATACCCCTCCCCCAAATAATCGCGATCTCATTGGAAATGATAATACAGGCAAAAGAGAGAGCTGAATAAATATGGATATATAGACTTTCCTTCTCAAATTCAATTACTAGATAACCAATTGTTCTCTATAACATCTGCTGATAAGCAAAGCAAAGATGAATTCAGAGAGATTTTTCTGTGTAGTATTCTGTTCTTTCTCAGACTGATATAATAACTGACTTTAATTAATTACTCCATATAAAGGCAATCTGTCACACGTTCGGCTTATGATATAAATCCCATTTCTGGTGTATTCTCAGTAGTCAAATCATTGCCTGTTCTGCACAAATAGAATATATTGATACAGTTCCCTGAGACATACAATTCCGTGAGCAATACAGCATCAAAAAGAGATTTTACCCTTTCTTTTTCCAGAAGTAAGACTGCATCTGTATTGTAGAATTAATGCAGTTTGGCACCACTTTAACTGCAATGGCTTAATTCTACAAAGTCTTGGGAGTTATAGTTTTGAAAGATCTATAACCTCTTCTGCCAAAGAGTGTTGGTGTCTCACCAATTTCCAAGATTCAATAGCATTACACCATGACTGCATTATTTCTACAGTGTAGATCAGACATGGGCAAACTTCGGCTCTCCATGTGTTTGAACTTCATCTCCCACAATTTCCAACAGACCGTAAACTGGCTGGGATTTCTGGGAGTTGAAGTCCAAAAGTTTGCCCACGCCTGGTGTAGATGCAACCGAAGACTGTTGCTCTTGCCACATAATACCATGGTCTACAGCAGAGTTTCTCAAACTCTGCTCCTCCAGGAGTTTTGGACTTCAGCTCCTAGAAATCCCAGCCAGTTTACCAGCTGTTAGGAATTGTGGGAGCTGAAGTCCAAAATATCTGGAGAAGCAGAATTTGAGAAACACTGGTCTGCAGAATACAACCAGTGAGGAAAAACTTTGTTTTGTTTTGCAATGTCAGTAATAGCTATATAATAACCTTTTCCATAGTTTTCAGCTAGGCTTCCACCCGGAAGATAATTCAGGCAACTTCCACATGAGAGCTTTAATGTGTACACTGGCCGTTAGCCATTTCATCCGTTAACTGAAATCAATTAAAAGAGTTTAAAATAAGGCACTGCTATCCCCTTGGCAGCTATTCAGTAATCCCTAAACATGTCCAGCACCAGCCCAAGGGAAAGACCAAACTAGAAGCAGCATCATTGACTCAACAAGGAAAGGACTCCAATATAGATTAATCCTTTTCCAACCTGAAACTGTGCTGCCGATATAGATCCTAAGCTGTTGGAAATTTAAATGGGAAAAATGGCTCAGGTGGAACAATTGAACTTTTTTACCAGTAGGAATTGCAAGTGGGACCACAGTGGTTTTAAAAAAAATTAATACTATAGACAGCCTTTAGAACAATTCTCCAAAATAAAATAAAAAACCTTCATTTTAAAACCTTCCCAACTAGCACTGATAGTTGGTCACTCTATTAGATCTTTTATTAATGTTTTATAAAAAATGCACTGTTCATTAAATCTGTGATAAAGTTCTGGATATGATAAAAGAGTTGCTAAAATACTCAAGGTTTATGGTAAGTGTTTACAGTTATAAAGAAGTTGCTGATTGAACATATCAGCAACTTCTTTATAATATCCTGGAATATCCTGGAAATACTTGATGATTCAGAATGCATCTTGTCAGAGCAGTTACCCCAATCCTAATCCACAGTGAGCTACACCAGATGAGCATCAGGTTTAACTACTCTGTCAGACCAAGCCACTTTGGAAGCTGCAAGGAAGCTTCACCTGAACCAGCCAGGCAACTTTATGGTGGTGCATGTGGTGCCAAAACCGGGTTAGCACCTCTACCCAGACCTTGTCCCCTCTAACTTACTTAGTGACCATCAGGAACCAAAATGGAGGCAGCCACTTCTCATTGCCTGGAATGACAATATCCAGTACACTGAAGAGACCGGTGCGTGTGCATCTGTGTGTGTGTAAGAATCACTTTCTTCTCCAACCTCCCTCTATTGATCTCTGAAAATATTTAATGATTCAGCCTGCATCTTGACAGGGCAGCTACCCTAATGCTGCTTTGCCATGTAATTCCAAGTGGTGCCTGGTAGGCACTACTAAGGTAAGTTATAGGCAGGCAGGTTTGGTGCCATCCCCTTTCCCAGGGCACCTGAGCCCAGAGAAAGCAGGATAGTGTATAACCAGATGGGTAGTGACATAGTTTATTATACTGACTCAAAGTCGATAGATAATCTGGAGCTCTGGAGTATCCATCAACTTTGTGAAAACACTGGAATAACCAACAACTTCAGGCAATGTGGGTCAAGGCCACATTAAGCCAATTAACTCAATGCACCATATAATGATCATGGGGCTGATCTGTCACCCCTGCATGTCAAGACACACACCATCAGGCTAGAGTCCTGCCGACAGTGGTATCAGTGCATTATGCGTGCAGAACTAGAGCGTGCCAGTATGACCTATGTGTATGACTCAATAGTAAGACCCCCTGAATCCAGTAGATCTTTCTCTCAGATTATAGAAAGTATGCTTTGAATTCAGCTGACTCTAAACTCAGAATTGATTTGGGATTCAAACAACTTTGGAAAATATCTGAATTCAAGTAGGACTCTTCCGAAAACCATCTGAAGATTAACACTTTTGAAGATTGGTTAGCAAATTAGAAACACATGCAGCTTTATATTTCTCTTCTTCCTATTTTTTGCCATTTGTTTATTGAATTTCAACACCAACAAAAAAAAGTAATATATATTCAGGAATATAAAAACACAAGAGTGAGAAAAATTCTAACTAAAAATAATAATGCTCTGATGATAAGAAAGGGAAAAAAAGTATTATTCTACCATTAGAGATCCAATTCAACTAAAACTATCAATAAATAGTGACTGGTTATTACATTATTAGATTTTTTTATTGCTTAAAAAACCTTAAATAGTTTCTAGGCTTTTAAAAAGTCTTCAGTTGAGTTATCCTTTAGAGCCCACATTAATTTGGCAATTTGAGCCAAATCAGCAATTTAGCAATCCATTTTTTCTTCGTTAATGCTTCAGCTCATTTTTAGGTTTGAGCAAACAATATTCATGTTGCTGTTGTCATTACTGAAAAAGTGATCCATATTTATTGTCCAATTTTCATCCATAAAGACCAACAAAATCATTTCTGGTAATATTACAAAATCTACCTTTAAAAGGTTTTGGATTAACATATAAATCTTAGACCAGTAACTTTTCACCATACTAGTCAACTACATATGAAAAGCAGGCCCTTGACGTCATTTTATTCTTAATTATAGTTCATAATTAAACTTTGTTAGGTAATGACAGCATCATTAACACAGAAGGAGTTAATTACCCAGCCAAGTTGTAACTTATTCAGATAGCCCTTGAGTATTTATAGCTAAAGGGGATAATTAGCCAAATGTATTTCACAGAGCTAGGATGAAATACTTCTGATCATTTACAGTAAGATCAAATCATCCAATTAAACGTTTTGACAGCTATTTAATATTTTACACAGCCATATCCTAAAATCAGTTCCATTAATAGCAAAGGAATTGTCCTGCATAAAGCAGGAGGGACTAAAAACAGTCCAGGCCTGATGAACATATTTGAGAGAGCAAGCTTTCATGCAACAGTCTTGCTGTCATCGCCATATACTGAAGTAATTGTGACTTTTCAAGCCGTTACACATCCATCAGTCCCAGAAGAAGAAGAAATCTGGTTGTAACCCTCAAGTCTAGTCTTTATCGTTTTGTTTTGACACTCTTAATTCTCATAAAAAGGTAAATTTTCTTAAATTGATAACAAGTCACTAAAAACAATGATTTCAGCAGGAAGCATAAAGGAATACATGTCAGTCAGGTGCCTTGTGTGAAGTTTTTCTGACATTGTTTGCTTCCTTACACGTTTTCAATAAAGCTGGAAAAGATTCTAGGTGATACCAATAGTCTGAGATGTCAGTACATCATGCTGCAAAGTGAATGATTTTTCCCTTCTGTTCTTTTGGTTATCTGTTTGCAACAGAGGGGAAAGTTTTCATTATTGTAACTGACACCCTGTCTGTTTAATTATCTGCTCTAGAATCTTTCCCAATCTTGATACCAGACTCACTAGGTGGTAATTTTTCAGGTCTTCTTTTTCCCTCTTTTTAAAGTTGTGGAGAACATTTCACTTCCTCCTGTTCTCCAAGGATTATCAAAGATTATTGCCAGTGGTTCTGAGATTAATTCTGCCAGTTCTTTTAATATATGTATTTGGATGTGGTTCAATTGACTTTTGAGACTTTAATAATTTAGAGTAGCCATGTATTCCCGTGCTAACCTTTTGCCTATTCCGTGCTGCATTTTCTCTACTGTATCTTCTGCTCCATTTTTCCCAAGTTGAACACAGTCAGCCTTAACCCAAGAGACTCAAGCGCATTAAACACAATAGAACAACAGAATACTAGCTA